TTACCAAGGGGGGTAGGCGAGATGACAAAAAATCGATAGCGCGCGCGAATAAAAAGACAGACAAGACACCATTTAGTATTTCCTTCATTTATTAGTGTGGTTAGCCTGTGATCAAAGGCTCTCGGAATTTTCCACCGCCTTCCATCGCTAGCTGTTGTAAATGATGACTACAAGACCAACCCTTAGTAAATCACGCATGACATCCTAACACCCTTTATGAAGCAACGATTATTGAGTAGGATTTGGTTTTATATTCAACAATTTAAATCCCAAATGATATTGTTCTCAATGTCAATTCATATCTCGATCCCTTAATTCCTTCTGAGTCCCATAAGAATTTCTAATTATTCATTCATTTCATAAATCGTTTACAACATTCGCGTCCGTGTTGTATCAGATCTACAATCACGAGCCTACGGCTCGCTACGGCTCGTGATTGTAAATCTGATACAGCACGTCCGCTCATGTTGTAAACATTACGAACAGGACCAATGACCAAAATTACCGAATTTTCGTTTCCCTTATGACAGTCAAAAAAGTTCGGAAGAAATCTTTCTTCAAACGTTAGTGGTTTTAACAATTTTAGAAATCGTTAAGGTTTTTGTAGGTTGGATTCATATTATGAAACTCAAATTGACTCATCAACCTTTAAAAATCATTTTATATTTTCCTTAGCTTTCGACCGACACGTTCATCCTAAGAGGAACTAAAATACGTTACAATACTAACAAAACCTACGCGATCAAACGTTGTACATATGCGCGAGCAAAAGAATCGCGCGCACAAACTGAAAGCACGAGCATTGAAAATCACAAAAGATTTATGTAATTTGCTGGCAGAATTCTGCCAGTGTCTCTATTAAAAATAATGTTCTTTTGCTTTGATATCTCACATGCTTCCAGCCACTTTCTTTGGTTCCATCTTTGTTCTTTTTTAACGATTGAAATGTTATCCCACTGGATTGAGTGCCCCGTTTCATGTGCATGCTGGGCTAAGGCTGATYTTTCTGCCTTGTTTAGACGCACAGCCGCCTGATGTTCTTTGTTTTTCATGATCATTTAAACCAACAAGACCCGAATATTAGGTTTACTATGGAAAGATACTCTGAAGCGGGACTTCCGTTTTTAGATACTTTAAATAGAGTGTCTGAAGATGGTGGAATTAAGATTTCAATCTATCGCAAGAAGACGCACACAGAYAGATATTTGTCATACGACAGTCATCATCCTTTGAGCCACAAAGCAGCTGTAGCTCACACTCTTGCTTATCGTAAAGAAACTCTGCTTAGTGACCAGGATTCAAAAGAGAAGGAGGAAGATCATCTCACAGAGAGTCTAACTCAAAATGGCTACCCTATGAAAGTCATCAAGAAACACTCAGTCATGCGTAAAAAGAACACAGAGAACGATAAAACGGAAGATCCCAAAGGCTTTGCGGTGTTACCGTATGTGAAAGGAACTACTGAGAAGATCACTAGAATTCTTTCACGCCATAACATCAGATGTTGCATGAGACCAGAAAGAACTCTGCGGAATGTCATATCTAGACCAAAAGACCAGGTCCCCCAGGAGAAGCAAGTTGGAGTAATTTATTCCATTCCTTGCGATGAATGTAGTAAAATATAATAAAATGAAGAAGCTAAAAACAGAAAAAGATAGAAGCTTGAAGACGTTTAAGGTAAATTTTAAACATTTTTTCGTAAGTCAATACATTTTCTGTAAGACCAAAACTCTTCATGATCTGTACACGCAAAAATAACTTGGAATAAACTGATAATCAGTATTGTACAGATAAAAGCAGGTATAGTATAAATTCAATTAAGAAACCTTTCAATTTGGGACAGTTTTTTGATTGTTTACCCCCAAAAACGCAAGGCATTGTGGCGATGTGAAAGTCGAGAATGGTTAAACATTTAATTATGAAAATGCGTAATAGGTAAATTACGAGCCTTAGATGAAACGACTGAAGAAGACTGCCATACAAGCCTTTCAAAGTTTCAGCTAAGGCTTGTAATTTACCTATTACGCATGTTCACATTTGATATCCGAGTCCATTCCATACGGCTTACTGCCTCATCTAACATTTTAATATGATTTGAGTGATGCATCTTGGAGATATATGTTAATGAGTGTGATGTCATAGGAGGCCTTAAATATAACAACATTTTCTGAGGTATATAAAAACAATAAACTTCTTGTATAAAACATCATTTTCTTATGATTTGAGTCGTGCATCTTGGAGCTATCGTATCAAGGTTTATACTTCCAATATGTTAATGAGTGTGGTTATACACTTATTTCAATAAAGTTAATCACCTGAAAAGCTACACAGCTAAGACCGGCAAGGATTATGGGTAGATACATTTTACATGTTTCAACCGCTTGATAACTGTTGATGGACTTGAGATATTCTACCAGTTACAAGTTAACCTCCTCTGAGCATCCTTGACTGATGAAGTTTGTGTCAAAAGCTTTACTTGTTGAATATGAAATATTTCCCATGATTCTCAGCGCTCACTGCTTTCTAGACTAACTTTATTGAAATAAGTGTATACAGGCAATCCAAAAAACGTTGTCGTCGACCAACTCAAGCCTAAGCGACTGGACCGAAAGGAACTCTGGATAGCAATCATTGAAGCCGAGTTGACTCCATCATTTTATCTGACAAGTTTTGCCTGGTTTACAGCACGAACTTTCGTAGGCGAGCGGGAAGTGTTGAAGGAGACGTTTTTTTTAATGCCTTCATATTTTCGGAATTGTGAACTGAATCATAACTACTTTGTTTTTCTTTCCCTAAACCCAAAGACACGCATTTGATGGATTGTTTCTCACCATTATTATCTTATTACTAGCGGGAACAATTAATTCAGAACGAATATGTAACTGCTTCAGTGATTTTTACCCATATTCCTTTCGGTCCAGTCGCGTGGCTTGAGCCGGTCGACGACGTTTTTTGAATTGACTGCAAATCGAAATTTTACGGGGCAGTAAACGTACATCTTGTCTAAAACATCGTCTTACTCAGTTTACAGAAAGCCACTACTAAGAGAATTAAATAACAAAAAACACGGCGGCCATGTTGGAGGATACAACGAAAAAATTCATTGACAAATTCCTCCAACATGGCCGACGTGAAATCGTTCTTTACATTTCTACTTTTTAAAGCTTTCCTCTTGAGTTGCTTAGTAAAGCTAAGCTACGAAGGAAAATTTTTAAAAAGCTACAGATAACAGACTATCAACCATATTTCTCGTTTTATTAAGGATATAAATCAACAACCTACGTCTTTACAACGTTGAACCATCAGTATTTGATCTTTTCTCTCATCCTTATCTTATAGGGAATCATTAATATAATAACATGTATATATATAGACTAACGCAATACTTTTTCAGAACCATATACAACTTCAGGAAGGCTTAAAATATTATACAATTTTGTGAATCACAAAACTTGAATAGACTAGTTTCGAATTCCAAATTACCGCTGTGTTCCTTGATTACAGACTCATTTGCACAGGGTTAGCCTCGTATCAGTGTTTAAATATTCACAAATACCAACGGTAAAGTAAAGAATGCACAACTTCAACAATACAAACACTTTGAAACTCGACGGACCTTGACTGGAACACGTGAATATTCTGCACAAACTCGAGGCTAACCCTGTGCAAATGAGTCTGTAATCAAGAAACACAGCGGTAATTTGGAATTCGAAACGGGTCTATTGGCCAAATTAGAAACACCGTCGTCATACGAAAACTACTTAAAAGCGACGAACAAAACGAAAACGTAACCATCGCCTATCCATCACTCGACGCACACTGGGTAAATGAATATTCTAGACGGCCACTTCGTCATTCCCGCGTTGAGGAGAGAGGATAAGAGGAAGGTATCGCATAGTTATGATACTAAAGTAAAATCTACTCGAGGTGAGCTCGTAAGAACTCGTTATAAGATATCTTTCCCAGCATATTCTTGTCGTAGTAGGAGTATATGTRAAAGAATTCTTCATCGTCTAAGTTGATCGTAAATCGTTTCAACGTCTGGCGGAATTCTGCTGGTGAACATGTTCCTGTACCTTTGCTGTCGATTGCCTAGAAGAAAAAAATAAGCATTAACGAAGCTCGCACCATCTTGGCTACTAGCATTGTAATCTTTCAAAAAACAACCGTGTTATGCGTTTAAACCTTAGCAGCCAGACCAACATTCAGGGTCTTAAAATAACTGAGGACAAAGTCGGCTATACCTTTGTATTGATATATACAAATGGTTAGACATTCAAGTGGCTCGGATAACCATTTTAAATGGCGGTCCTGTCTCTCCACACATCGTCATTACTAACCAACATAGGAGGGACGTTAAAGAACCACTGAGGACGTAAAGAAACCCTGGCAGTGACAACCCTTAGTGCCTACATTTCATACTAACCACCTCATGATTGTAAGCGACTTTGAATATGTACATAGAAAGGGCGCTATATAAATCAAAAATCATTACAAATCATAACATTGCAATGAAATCCACTTACTCTAAATGTTCGTCTCATTTCTTTCCAATTTTCCCTGACCTTAGAACGCATGTTCGCCATTAGCTCCACAAGTTGGTCGCTCTTGAACCCTGGGCTGGACTGAACATTGAATGAAAAAAAAGAGATGTGAAAATAAGAAACCAGTACGTGATCAACAAACTTACGACCAAGATGCAGCTTGACCGAGAGAGCCTCTGGATCCCAGAATAAAGAATTCTTGAATATATTTTTAAAAAGCAGATATCATTAATRCATGCAAATGAGATGCAAATGAGACAACAAGCATTCTATCGACCCGATAACCTCACTTTTAAGAATATCTTATCGGGGCTCAGCTGTAATGACAGCTATTGGCTACGCCTTTTATGCCTTCATTATTCATCGATGGTTCGAAAGTCAAACTTAATATAAAAGTTTTGAGTGAAACGATTTGAAGATGGGCTAGCCATTTCATAAAATTATTCGGATTCCTCACTCCCTTCCCCATGGGGAGGCTCTATAGCCGGAGGATATTCATCACCGGATCTTTTACCGGATACTCCAACCTGGACCGCTTTGATAAACTAGTATCATTAACCAATCATATTGCGACATTTAGATCAATCTTTTTTAAACAGCCAATCAGATAGCACATCGATATTATAAGAGCGTGAGAACGTGATAATCTGATTGGCTGACACTGTTATCAGTTCAATCTCTGTCTAGTTTACTGTTATCTGATAGGTCAGTTTTATTCAAGTGGTCACGGTTAGTGTGTCTGCACAGTAATGAGTTCTATTTTGTGCACTTACTGGTATTTTGGTGGATTGCAGTTTTGCTCTTGCCAACTGATTGATTGGTTTTGCATTGGATGAAAGGACGAAGTGCCTTAAAAATTCTTTGTAAACAATACTAGAAATAAACAATGAACAAAAACATAAGGACCTAATAATAATAATCACTTCATTAAGCTAGTTAGAGTTAGCATAGGTACGTCACTATCATCATCATCCATCGTCGACATTTAAAAAAAAGTAAAGCACCTATATTTAACGTCGGTAGTTCCTTCAGTTGAAATTCCACTGCTATCAGTGGAAGCCGACGGTGCGCACTTCACCCCCTCTCTCCATCAGTGCTCTGTTTAAGAGTATTCAAAGCTGAAGCTACACGGATTAGAGAGAAGTCGAAACAGATGTGGAGATCCTAAGGATCGAACCGTGGACCTCAAGCTCTGAAGGTCGCGCACTAACCAACTGAGCTACTCCTGCTCCTATAAATCATCATCATTTTCAATTTCAAGGACATCATCATCATATCATTATTTTGATGACATCATCAGATCATCTTCATCCTCATCATTTGCAAGAAAACCATCATCGTCATCATCACCATCATCGTCGTCAACTTCATCATATTTAGTAATAAGCACCTCTTGTAAACAACTGCGACAATGTTGAAGTGACAATGCTTCAGCATTGCTAACAATATCAGCAATGACAATACCAAAACAGTAACAAAGAAAGGTTATTTCTGATGGGCAGGTCTACAATAGAGGCTTTGCACCATCACGTGCCGGCGCCCATAATCCAGCTTGGACTGCCTGTGGTTTGATGGCAGAACAATAAAATCCCTTTGCTCTCGGGAATCGAATTCTTTCTCATGTAAAACGATTGTATTGTTCCTGCCATCTAACATGGCTGCCGTGACGTGATGGTGCAAAGCTTCTTTACTGTATCTAGATCACAGTCACTTCCACTGTGAATGCTAGGCTTCGCAAGAGCAACGGTGTATGAGGCATTATCGTCTCTTACCCTCCTCTTCCACTTGATTCAGAACCATGTTTCTTCCATAAGGCAAGCAGCTCACTATGCGTCAGATCCATGTGATGTTGATATAAAATATCTACAATGACAGACCAAACAACCACAATAAATACCTTTTTCTAGTGAAGCCTGCTTTTTTATCACAAAATAAACCTACATTGTACTATCAAAGTTGATGGTTAACATGAAATTAAATAAATTCTATCACCTTTGAACTGTTGGAAGTCCACTCTGCCGGTGTTGTTGGGATCGGCATTCCTGAATGTCTTCTGAAGTTGCTGCCAGCTACGACAAACCTGTAAAAAATCATAATGTTTGTTTGCTTGTTGTTGCTTTTTCCAGTAGAGCGGATGCAATTAAACCGTGAAATAAAAACAAACTAAATACTAACTAACAGTATCTATTTAGTGACAAATAGTTGCTATCACTCAACCTGAACATTCATCATACAAAGACAAATCTTTTGTTTAATAAATGTTCTGGTTGAGTAATAGTGACTATTAGTCACTAAATAGATACTATTTGTCAGTATTTAGTTTGTTTTTATTTCACGGTTTAATTGCATCCGCTCTATAATCTTAGTTTTGATTACTTATTCCAGGTTATAGTATATTACTAATTATTAGTATTTTCTAACAATCTGTTTTTTTTTAGTTTCGTAATCTTCATCATCATCACCATTTATAATTAACATCATCATCATCACTATCATCTATAACATCATCACCGACATCATCACCACCACCATCATCATCATCACCAACACCTTCATCAACATCACCATCATAATCATCAACATCACCATCAACATCATCACCATCATCACCATCATCATCACTATCACCATCATCACCATCATCATCACCATCATCATCACCACCATCATCATCACTATCATCTAACATCATCATCGTCATCATTACCACCACCACCATCATCATCATCACGATCACTTCTGAACATCATCAAAACAGGGAAGTTCCTGATCGAAATCATCATCATCGCCAATCTACTGACCACTTGCTTCATTCATAGTTGTTTTTACCTGGCTTTTCAGTTTTCTTTCCACGTCAGTAGCGCTCATTGGCGGGGTGACTGTTTCTGGTGACACGTTTTTGAAGACGGGAGACGTCATCATTGGAGACAGAAGAGACTCACGAGAAAGCTATGGAACACACATACATAACTGAGAAAGGTTCTCACGATATAATATTGTTGATCACAAATGCGCGCGCTGATTGGCTAACAGATAAATAACATATTAATAGATCAACTAGCTCACTTGCTCACTGTCGTTCTACTCTAACCGTCAACACTCGAGTTATTTTAATTCATTTATTGATGTAAATATACTTTTATTTTTTCTTTTACTTTCATCATTTCATCTCCTCGAATAACTTTTATAGACTTTCAATACATGCAACTCTAATGTTTTCGATTCGTAATCTGATTGGTTGAGAACGAGAGTAAATGTTAATATAAATCTAGGCACAGCCTAAAAGCGGAGCTCTCAATAGCACAGGGAGCCCAATTTAGATAAATATGAATGAGAAAATAAAATCGGGCAAAAAATCTTCATTTTTTTATCTCGTTCGAGATGAAGACAATGTCCCCCATAGAGAAACCATGAAGTGAAAAAATGAAATCGAAATGCATTACACAGGGTTCGTGCCGAGGTAATGACTTAAAATTCAAGGAGTATACAAAGACCCTAAAATGAATTTTCGAGGAGTATGTTCAGCTAACTATGCCAAGGTTTTACACGGTGGTTGCACATGGCCGACTTTCAGATTTTCCAATCATTCTGACTAGATCTATTTAAGAACCATGCAAGTAATGATCAAAGCAAAAATCCAAGGAGTTTTCAAGGAGTTTCGCTAACATCATAAAATTCAAGAGCTTTTCAAGTGCCCTTGAAAACGTGAATTAAATTCAAGGAGTTTTCAAGGAGTTTAAGGAGGAGCACGAACCCTGATTACATCGTTTTCTTCGGATGAGTCTTGGCTTTCGACCTTAGTACTCCCACTTAGGAATTTTGTCACATGTACACAAACCACCACCGACCACCCCAGGGGCTAGTTTTGTTCTTGAAAAATTCTTCGACAAAGTTTTGCATGCCGACATTTTTACGCTTTGAATTGCGGCTTAATTTTACTGTCAATGATTCCTGGCAATTTTGATTAGGATCTTTAACAGCGGCTTCAGGAAAACAATGCAACAGTAAAAATAGGATCCAAAAATTCCTTCATTCATTGTTTCGTTTTTCCTTACTTTTCTTTCCCTTGTTCTTGGAGGCGTGGCCGAAGACGCCCTCGTGACGTCAGTTCTTCCTGTAAACATCCTGAGGAATTCTCTGTATTCCACCAAATCATTCTGGTCTTTCGGCAGTAGATACCATATATGGTCAAACTGATCATCATTCATGCGGAACACGTGACGATCTAGGATCTGTCGCAGTGTCTTCTGGCTCACGGTACCTGATTGGTTCGTGTCTTGCTCAGTGAACGCCTGTTGAGACAAGTAACACATTTCTATGAATAAATTAAAATGCAAGCTAGACGCACGTTTTTACACTGAATTTGAAGTTTTTATGTAATTTTTTTTTTAAATTAAGATTTTTTTTTCATTTTTGGAAAACATGTGATAAAGGCTTTGCAGCATCACGTGATGTCAGCCATGGAAGGAGGCACAACAATACAGTATTTTTCCCTGGGAAACTGAATTCTTCAGAATAAATCAGATAAGACCAAATTCAATTGCCCTATTTCACTATGGCGTCATTGGTCACTTGTTTCCCTGGGAAACTGAATTCTTCAGAATAAATCAGATAAGACCAAATTCAATTGCCCTATTTCACTATGGCGTCATTGGTCACTTGTTTCCCTGGGAAACTGAATTCTTCAGAATAAATCAGATAAGACCAAATTCAATTGCCCTATTTCACTATGACGTCACTGCTTGTTTATGTGGGGGATAGAATCACCAAATCCAATAGAAAATTCAACAAAATTTGCTCCTAGTGAAACAGTTTAATCTAAAATGGCCTGGTTTTAAGATATTATATGTGTTAATATGTACTAAAAATATTCTGAGCGTTTGCTGGCTATTCTACTTCTCTTCGTGGATTGATACGGGTTTTAGAACAATTTTCGGTGAATTTGCGTTGATTTGACCCCCTCCCACGACCATGATCCTTTGCGTTTAAACAATAGATTGTTTTGATGTGACGTCATAGTAAAATAGGGCAATTGTTCCTGTCTTCTGTGATGGTGCAAAGAATCTTGGAAAGAATTGGACCTTGGATTGCAAAACATATCATTTTGCTCATCTGCCCATCCACTAAGAGTCAAACACTTTAGTACTTTCGCGAACGCGTTACCAAACCTCATCTCTGGGGTCTCGGGTTCGATTCCCAGTCTCCCATACTCCCAGTTTGGTAAGCATTTTTTTACGCTCCCCTTCCCCCCAATATTTATTATCTCCTGTGAGAAGAGTAGCCTTAGGTCTCTCTTGATTTGAGGGTCTTTCTCTGGGTTCTCAGTTTTCTTCCATCCACGAAACCTAACATGATAAATTCCTATTCAATCTGTGAGCTAGCCATGCCCTGACTTAGATCAGCCCAGAGGTTGGTCCAGGGTTCGATCTGTGAGTTAGCCATGCCCTGACTTAGATCAGCCCAGAGGTTGGTCCAGGGTTCAATCTGTGAGTTAGCCATGCCCTGACTTAGATCAGCCCAGAGGTTGTTTCAGGGTTCAATCTGTCAGTTAGCTCTGCCCTGACTTAGATCAGCCCAGAGGTTGGTCCAGGGTTCAATCTGTGAGTTAGTCATGCCCTGACTTAGATCAGCCCAGAGGTTGTTTCAGGGTTCAATCTGTGAGTTAGTCATGCCCTGACTTAGATCAGCCCAGAGGTTGTTTCAGGGTTCAATCTGTGAGTTAGCCATGCCCTGACTTAGATCAGTCGAGAGGCTGTTTCAGGGTTCAGCCTGAGCTAGTTTTTACTTTCTTCCCTTCATATACTCCAGTGATTGTCAGCTTAGAATGACATTCAACAATTTTCGTTATTTAAATCGTTCACTCGAAAGGTTATTTAGTTTGTTTTGATATGCGCGGGTTGGTCGTTAGGTCTGTGTTCTGTTGCTAGGTTGGTTGCTTGGTTACATACCTTAGCAAGTGAATAGAACCTTGCCATGACCACTTCTCTAACTCTCTTCTCTACATCTTCCTCTGTCATACCGTGTTTCTGAATGGGAGACTGCTGACGCTTCGCAGGAGAAGGTATTAAATTTTCAAGCCACTTTCGACTTGCCTAAGTTCAAAAATAAACATCCACTGTTTAGTACGAATGCTTTAACACAGGCTTCACAGTTTGCTCAGTCTGTGCTATGTTAAAAGTCGTTCTTATTCTTGTTGCACTTCCATTCGGTAAATAGCCTTGAAAAGTATTTTCAAAATCTAACCCGTAACAAAAATAAACTACGAATCTCAAAACTCAAAAGTAAATACATTTGCTTGAAGAGAGATAAAACGATGAAAAATTATTCTTGTTATTTGTCTTATCATTTAAAGTACCCAACAAATCAGTACTCACCTCAACGTCGGATTTCTGAAAACTTTCTAAAAAGTCTTCGTAGTAAATTAAACCGTCTTTGTTGACAGTAATCTGCTTGAGCAGCGCCTGGTGAAATAAATATTCAGATTAGGTTCGATTCGGGTTTTGTAGGTCAAACATCCTGGTGCTAATACAAATACGACTGGATTAGGATATGACAAGCGACGGTGAATACATTTGTTTACCATCGGATCAGGATGGAAAGCAAACATGGCAATCATACTAAACCACGAAAAAATATTCTTAGAATTCAGCCTGGTTGTAGTCACGTGATTCACCTACTTTGGCGGCAAAATTTTGGCGGCCAAATACGATTATTTCACGTGTCCAACTACATCATAAGAAATTGTCTCTTGACAACAACACGTGAGCTATCAAGGTCACAAGTATTCCATGGAGCGATTCCAACGTACTTTGGCAAATGGCAATACTTTGGCAAATGGCAATACTTTGCCATAAGGCACCACTGTCTCTATAGGGAACACGTTGCACTCGTATCAATGATAATTATTAAGCTTATGAGTTCTGCATACCTTGAATTGTTTTTCAGTCATAACAAAGCAAAACGCCTTGATGATTTGATGAAGATCTTTGGTCGTAACGTAGCCCATCCCAATTTCATCAAATGCTCGAAAAGCCTGAAGACAAAACGATAAAACATTAGGACTTTCAAAGAGAATGAAATGACCAATAATTGTGAGATCGTATTCAAGCTCATATATATATATATATATAAGCAAAAAACTTCCTGTGCAAATTATTGGTCTTTCCGAGAGTGCGCGAAAAATGGTAACGAGTAATGCTCGCATTGAATTATGGGTTTGTTTAAGGGACGCCATTTGCTTTATTCGCCATAGTCAGTAACACATTGGAAGTATAAACCTTCATAACATAAAGACGCAACATTCAAATGAAGAAATATTTCACCATTCAACTATTCACATTATGTAGAATTAAGGTTTAAGGTTTGCAATCGAGTTAAATTTACTTTTGTTTTTGGCCTGTTTTTTTTWAAAGAAATCGCCAAGCTTCCATTTTTAGATTTGAATATATAAAGCAGGACCTTCGAGTTACAAATATGATTTTTTTGTGTTTTAGACAGAAAACATAAAAGCACAAAAAAATCCGTTTAGTCTCTGATCGCCCATTTCAGAGCTCGGACCGACAACGTTTTTGTTGAAATACTGAGGTGTATATCCATATCACATCAGACTGAAAAGTCAAAATATCCTTTACAATACYATACAAAAAGTATATAAAAGGACAGGGCAGAAAAACGACAAGCCCGCTACTTTCACGATTTTATTTAACTGAGTTTAATACTCCAAATTTTTAAGCGTTTCATTTGTGTCACTGCTGCACGAAACTTGTGACGAAATTTTGTCGAATTCAAGGATTAAATCGACTAAGTATTCACTTAGTCGATTCACTTCACTTATTTCTGCTGATCAAAATATCATCTCTCCCAAAGTACACTGCTTTATATCTCAAATACGAATTCGATAAATTTTGATCGCATTTGATATTTTGCTGTTTGGCTCCAAAAGAACGTGTTTACAAAATATTGAGCTTAAATACGTAAAGCTGTCCTTATTGTGAAAGGCCAAAAACCGTTTTTCTGCCCTGTCATATGAAAGAAAAACCATGTACCTTGACTATGGTATCATAGTTGCTACTTATTTTCCCTCTCAGTTTAGCAATCGCCTGCTCGGGGCTTAGAGTTTCATGGTTCTCGAACACTACTGTACTACTACTCTTCTTCTTGGGAGTATCGAGTGTCACACGACCGTATCCCGAGTGTCGTTGGTCCTCGAATGCGCTGAGAAATTTCTCGTAGGATAACTTGTTCCTGCTACCTAATCCACATCTAAGAAAAAGATAATTTGTTATTGACTTTGTTAAAAGATATCGAAGTAAAAATCAAGGGTTGAGTTGCGGTTGTGCACTCGCCTCTCATTTCTGGGGTTACACGCTTGATTTCTGGACTCTGTATCACACGTGAGCAGAGTTTGTTTGCTCTTTTCCTTGATTAGGGACTTGTCAGAAATTAGCAGGGGGGAGGGGGGGTGGGAATTTTGAATTTGGGGTTGGAAATGGGGTGACCCATCCAAGCAATGGGAATGAACTTTCCTTACCTTCCCCTTGGGCCTAGCATAAAATACCATGGCCGTTCCCTCTTTTGTAAACGATATATTTAGTTCTTGCAATACCTGTATTATAGTTTTAAAGGGGCACTTGGAAACGAAAACGCCCCAATTTTTCAAAGTCCGAACAATTGAAGTATTTGTGGATAATTTGACTCAATTATGATTATGTAAACCATATTAGTGAAAATTTTAGCCTGGGAGCCATTTGCAGTTGAGAAATTTTGGGTTAAAAGAGAAAAGAACAATAGGACTGAGTAAATGAGGTCATTTACTCACAATTTAGATGCTGAATAAAATTGATAATTTTTAACCGACACATTTTACTGTTAAGAAAGTATGTTGCTTGGCTACTATTGGGGTCATATAGATACGTTTAACTAAGTTTAAAGTCATTTCCAATTTTTATCCATTTTCATCCAAGTGCCCCTTTAA